AAAATAATATTTAAATATTAATTAATACATTTTAAAAATATTTTAAAAAATTGTATAATCAAATTTACAAAAATTAAATACTCTCATAATCACAACAGAATAGTGGCTTAATGTTTGTATTTTTCCTGTCTTAAAACACCAATATTATAATATATATTTGTTTTAATTGTTAGGATATTGCTCAATTTTTTATATATTTTTTGTGGTACATAATTCTTAAAATTTTTTTCTGTGTACAAAGAAGGAAACACGGGAGTAAAAAAACTACCTATCGCTTGTGATGGATGCATAAATCTTATCTGTTAGCAAATAAAAGCTGCAGCCAGTCGTTATCGCTGTCTCTGTCTCCTTCCCTAAGTCTATCTCTCTCTCCTTTTGTATATGCCTCCCTCTCTCTCCCTCTTATCTGTCTGTCTCCCTCTGGCTGCCTGCTGCTTTATGATTGCCTCGAATTGGCTAATAACTTTCATGGAACTCGTTGAACTTGAGTAATTGCGCTGACTTGCCACTCGCTTCTTAGACTGACATTGTTTAGATAAAAATAATTTTCAGTCATGAAATTATTCATAGCCTGTTGTTTGATTAAAGGCTAACCAGCAGCAGCGGAAAAATGAAGAAAATAAAAGCGGGGATAACAAAGGAGGAGCGATAAAAATATATTTTCCCGGTTAATAATAGATGAGGTCATGTCGCGGAACTGAACTTTCTTGTTTGTTCTTTTCTTTACTGACTTGCTGAAGCTAAATTTTAATTGAAAGCTAATACCAAAAAGGGAATTTTGGCTCAGTTTTCTCAATCGTCAGCTGGATCAAAGGGTTGGCTTATTCAGCTTCATGTTCCCTTTAATTTGGACCCCCTAGTTAGCCATCAACTTCAGCTGCTGACTCATGAAAAATTAACACACAAATCGCATGAGGCATACATTTAAAATGCACTTTGTTGCAGCTGCATTGCATAAAATTATTGCAGAAACAAAAATGGCCAGCGATAAGACCAGCAAAACCAACTGCAACTGGGAAATGAAATTAAAAATTTTGAAAAATAAACGACTAGGGATACTTTACTTTAAAGGATAATGAGAGCTATATATTTCTTAAAATGTATTTCCACACCAGAAAATTTTAAATTTTAATTTTCATTTATTTGTCTGTTTAGTTTATGTTTACTTTATACGAAACCATATTTTAGAATATGTTAAAATTAATTTAGAATCAAAATCAATAAAAAATGTATGCATTCCAGTGTTTAGTTTATATTATTTATTTTTCACCTTAACTTTAAAAAGAAAACCTCATACTCCCTCTGGAAAAAAGGGTATTGGGATAATGCATTTTCCTTGACTTGCAGCCGAATGCTTTAAAGTGCATCAATTTTAATGCAAATATGCAGCAAGCAGCATTAACTTTTGCTGCGCTCTGAAAAATTTACATAATTGCTGAAAGTCAGGCGAGAGGCGCCTTTTCCGACCCCCTATTTCCTCCTTCCTTTTTCCGCATGTGTGCAATGGGTGGAAAGCTGGTTGGAGGGTGGGGAAAACTTTAATGAAAAACGTCCAGCACTTTGCACAATTAACGATTTTTCATGATTTCCCACCCAATCCCCCGAAACAACCGCTCCGCCCGCAGGCAATTTGCATAAATCAGTGCAAAGTATCTGTGACACATGGAGAGCACGCCTCGTAGGTGGCCGCCTTTTGGCCTGGTCAGTGGGTGAAAGTGGGTGGCGTTGTATTTTATACGGGGTGGGGGTGCCTCTGAAAAATGTTTACACATTTGCAAATGTCTGAAGGTCAGGGGTGGAGAGAAAGCACGGGCGGAGAAAGCAGGGGCCAACCAGCGGGCTGTGCAACATGATTTAGGCGTTTGCCCGCTGAGTAATTGTTGTGCGGCGGTTCCGTGGCTCACTGGCGCAGCTTTAATTTAATTTATGCAACGGAAGGAGGCAACTTCGCCTCCTTCGCCTTGTCGAGGGCCACTAAGTGGCCGCTTCAGCGAAATTAAATGCACTTTCCCCGGTTGTTGTCGTCGTCATCGCAGTTGTTGCAAGCGATGGCCACGGGGTAGCGCAGGGTATGTCAGATCGAGTAAATATTTATTTAAAATATTACGAAAGGTAGGTTAGAGGCAGCTATGCGCTTTATATAGATTTAAATAAAGGAAAAATAAATATTTTTAAAAATCAAGGATTCTTCAATCTCTTTTAAAGGTGTCTAAAAGTATGCAACACTTTTTATACCCTTGCAGAGGGTATTATGATTTCAGTCAGAAGTTTGCAACGCAGTGAAGGAGACGTTTCCGACCCCATAAAGTATATATATTTTTGATCAGCATCACAAGACGAGTCGATCTAGCCATGTCCGTCTGTCCGTCTGTCCGTCTGACCGTCTGTCCGTCTGTCCGTCTGTCCGTCTGTCCGTCTGTCTGTTTCTACGCAAACTAGTCTCTCAGTTTTTGAGCTATCGGGATAAAACTTTCCCAAAAGTCTTCTTTCTATTGCAGGTAGTATATATGTCGGAGCCGACCGGATCGGACAACTATATCTTATAGCTCCCATAGGAACAATCGGAAAAAAAAACTTTAAAAAATTCTAGCTTCGGTGTTTTTTGAAATATTACCTTCTACTTTTGGGGATGTTATTTTTTAATTATTTCTGAATTTCGAATTAATTATTTAAAAAATCGGTCTACTATATCATATAGCTGCCATAGGAACGATCGGAAAATTAATGGAAAAGTAATAGGAAATAAATTCTAACTTCTTTGGTTTTTATTGTATTATCTTCTACTCTAGGATATGACTCTTTTTAAATATTTCCAAATTTCAATTTTAATTTGATCAAAATCGGACGACTATATCATATAGCTGCCATAGGAACGATCGGAAAATTAATGAGAAATATTAGAAAATTGAACATTTTTGCGATTTGTTAATTAATAGGAATGATCTGCAAGGGTATATAAGCTTCGGCTGGCCGAAGCTAGCTTCCTTTCTTGTTTCAAGTAGTTTAAAACTCTTGTAATATCTCTAGCTTTTAGAATGATATAACTAAAACTGATGATTGTTATTTTGAACCAGACTTTCTGACTGCAACTTCGAACATTTTCATGAGCTTAACTTAATGAAATTAATGAACAGGAAAATTGGTCTTCATTAGTTTCAATGCTTCAACGAACTTTCACTATTTAATCGCTGATTCCCACCAATTCCACAGTACTAAACGGCTGAAATCAATCCCTGCCCCATCACTATCTCCCATGGCGGTGCTTAAATTATATTACTAGCCATCAAACGGTCGATTCTCGGCCATTAGAAAATAATTTCATTTGCTATTATTTACGCTGGCTGCAGCTTGCAGCTGCCGCTGAACAGAACAGAATTTATTATTATGGCCGCACAATGTGTTTAGTTTTATGGCCCAAGACGTGAAGTGTTTATAAGGAGTAGCAGCGTAGCAGACTGCATTCCATTCCCCGGACTTATTTAATGCGTAATTACAGCGCAAATCTTGTTAAGCAGTCGAAGAAGCTGAAAGCTGAAACTGAAAGATGGAAAAGCGGAAAAGCAAGATAGCTGTTGGCCCCGAGTCCTGAGCATTCTCAGCAAAAGGCAACACTTTTCCGAGGGCCAAAGGAGCAGCAGTGCTGAGAGGCAGCTTAGTGTTTGCTTCATTGAATTCATAAGCGTCTCGAAAACTAAATCCCAGTGAACTTTAGTGAAAATCCTTTGCTGGGCTAGAAGGATAGTGGAAAAACTGCAGCTGGAAAAAATCCTCCTCCCCACATAAAAAGCTATGCGGGTAAACCGAGGATTTTCCTTGTCGAGGATTTTTTCCCAACCTCCGAAGAGGACAGCGGCAGCAGGTCGTCAAAAGTCAATTAACTGCAACACTTGCAACACAACTTCAACTAATTAGCGTGATGCTGCCCCAGGTGAAGAGGTTGAGAGGATACTCACTCTCTATATATAAAACCCCCCGGGGATCCAGCAAAACACACAAAAATGTGTAGCATGCTTTTGGGCTTGCGGTAAATAAGAATGCACTTAACGTCGGGTTTTGGATGAGGATGCATAGAGAGAGAGTGTGGCAAATAGAGGGGTGTGGATAGGATGGAATGGGGTTTTCTCTAGGGGAGGGAATACCTGACTTTTACAAGGTGGAAAGGTAGAAAGTATGTCAGGATGGGTGAGGTTAATTTGGGTTAGTTGTGGCCAACAGGGAATACTATGTAATTGGGTGAGTAGACGAAGAGATAAACCAAATAAAAGCATAATTGTATCGTTCTTGCACTTACAAAATGATATTATTTATCCATAATAGATAGATTTAAAAAAAAGTGATGAAAAGCAATTAATTATGAAGCTATCAACATTATCATAAATCAAATAAGTATTTTTATAACACCATCTACAACTCCCCCAAATCATTATGACGCAGAAATATATAGTATATAGAATATACGATTTCCCCTCTTGAAACATTGGATGTTATAAATTACGTCAATAAATAGAAATGAGAAATAGTGTCAAAGTGATAGGGAAATTATTAAACAAACATGTGTGCAGTGCTTGAATTAATCAGAGAACATATGATATTATTTGTAGCTATCATGATTTATTATAATATTATCAAAGTAGTTATCACTGTTGCTAGTGAATTACATTTTGGTCCCCTCACAGCAGTTAATTTATCTCAGAAATCCAAATATAGCTCTTCTTTTCAAGCTAAAAACTATAAATAAGTTGATTTCCCCAGTTCTAACTATCTTCTGAAACTTTATTATCACAGAGATGCTCTGTCCCAGTTTTTTCTATGATTTTTTCGGCATCATCATCATCTTCCGAGTTTAATTAGGCTGTCGCTTGTTCCCAGAGCCTCTTATCTTATCCACTCTATTGAAGACATTCGCAACAAGATGTGCTATCGGGTATCGAGTGATGATAACCACCTGTGGCAAAGAGTCAAGAGCCTCGAATGCATCTCCATTTCGTCTTCGATTCCCATTAAGAGTAGATGTGGCGTAAATTTCCAACCGAATGAAGCTGCCATCGAAGGTGGCTAACGTGTGGAAGCGTTTCTTGGCCATGTTGTCGCTGCCGGATTTGTTGGGTGAGTTCTTTAAGTTCTAAGTTCTAAGCTTCAATTTATTTCAGCTCTTATTTTCCCTTTTGATTTTCCATTTTCCAGTTCTCGGTTGCTTGTGGGCCAGTGGATTTTCCCTGGGTTACTATGCCAAATCGGCTTATGTGTACGATAACCTTTGGCCCCATTGGTATGCTTTAGTGGGCGGGGTCGTGGCCTTGGCCTTGACCCTCGGATGGACCCTCAGGAAGCACAAGAAGCAGCAGTACAGCTACGATCATTACTATATCATTTTCTACGGACTGCTCTGTTCACTGATGGGAAGCTGCTTCATGCTGACTAAACAGTTGGGTGAGTAATCAATATCAATGGAATTCAGTGACTGATAAAAAAAAGGTGCGTTGTTTAAGAATAACATGAATGTGTAAAAGATCGCTTATGAAAAAAAGAGACACATTAGCACAGCCTAAAATACTAAAATTTCTTTTATATTAATTTATAGAGACAATTATAATAATTTATTATTATTTTAAAATTTCTGGTTAACTGTAAAAGCAGCAGCTCATTATTTTTCTTTTTGTTCCCCTTTAAATCATTGTGACATTTATTATTAATTTAAAGTTTTGATTAATAGTGGAAATTCCCAGATCAATTTAAGCCTTTGATTAACAGTTGAAAACCACAGACCATTATATTTCAATATACGTTTTTTTTATAATTTATTAAGACATTTATAATAATTTTAAACATTTTGATTACCAGTGTGTTATATTTCCATCCAAATAAAATAAAAGTAGACATGAAATAAATACATTTTAATTAATAATTTTATAAAACACATTTCTATTTCATTTACCAGCTGTTAGCTATTACTTCATCTTCGTGGGACTGAGTGTACAATATCTAGCCGGATTCAGTTACGTGAGCCTGCGATGCGATGCCTCGGGATCGAGGCCATCGCGAATTGCCCTGGCCAACTCATTATATGCCGGAGGAATGACCACGGGATTTGTGGTGTTCAACGAGATGGAACCACAACGTTGTGGATTAATTGCTTTGGGCATCAACCTACTCTTACTTTGCCTTGTGTGTCTAAACGAGCTGCTGCATCACACGGGCTGCATTAACTACAAGGAATCCAGGGATTTGGTGTTTAATCTGCTGAACGAAGAGAAGATGGTCTTCCTGCCGCGTCAGGCGATTCTGGCTCAGTTTGTGGACCGAAGGGATTACCAGCTGAAGGACAGCAGGCAGTGGTTGGTCCTGATCCTGGGAGGATCTCTGGTTTACTTACAGAAGAGTTGTCTGCTATTCTCACCCACTTATATGCAACTCATGTGGAGCAGTACAGTGGGCTATCTGCAGAGGACCCAGCTTTATATACCCTTTGTTCTGTATTCCGGGGGTACAAGTTTTGGTGCTCTCCTCCTCATGAGATATACCCCTAAACTGGTTTACTTACTCTTTGGTCTTATTCAAATGACTTTGATTGTGGCTCTGCTGTGCATTTACACCGATGAGCAGTCGGAACATTGTTTTCTGTTCCTCTGTCTGATATATTTGACTTTGGGAGTGCTCTCGAGTCAAGGAATCCATTGGTTACTGGAGTGCTCACCCTTTCTGTACACAGAAATGTCCCTGGCTTTGGGTTTTATTCTTCAACTTGCCGTTCTCGAGGGTTCCAAATACGAAACCTTTGCCAGCAATACTTGGATTGCCCTACTCATAGTTAGTATCATCATACTGGTTCTAACTTCACTGGCCATTCCTGTGGTCCAGTGGCTCCAACCGAGTTCCGCCAGTCTTGTTGATGTGAGGAACCGCCTGCTGGGCATCAGGAGAAAGTCTCTGCCCCCGGAACAAACCCAATTTTGGCACACCAACCACTTTTTGGCCCACAACAAGCCCGCCAATCAGCTGGAGTCCGTCCAACTGGGCAGAAGTCGCATCTTCCAGCAATATCCCATCAGCGGGAGTGACATCACCACCGACAACCACAAAGGCGACAAGTTCTGATAATAAAGTGCTGCACTTTATACTGCCAACCACTTGTTTTGTGTTTCGTATATCCCAATCATTACTCAATCTAAGGCGTCAAAGGGTTTTCTGTGCTATTTATTTTTATTTTGGGAAAAAATGCAGAGAAAATATGGTTGAGGTTTTATGCCTAACATTTTGTACACTTTTTAAAATTTGTATAATTAATCAGACAGCTGTATTTTTAATTCAAGGATATGAAAACGATAAAATGACAATAAGTCAATATTTACAAGTTTAAAATTAAATCAAACTAAATTTTATAAATTAACAATTTAAGAATTTCTAGAAGATTTTAAATGAAAAACACCAGTGCACTCAATTCCTTTTCCATTTAAGAAATGCCTTTAATAAAATTCCCAACAAATAAAAATGCCTCTACTAATTTCGCCACAAAGGCTTTTTTAGCTTTTTTCCATAAGCTGCAGGTGCTGATAAATCCGTTGCTCGTGTAATAAGCCTTTCTCGGAGATTATTAATTATTTATGAGCCCGGCATTATGATTTCCACGGCTCAAAAGAAATAAAATCTCCCCGGGAAGAAAAAAGGCTTCGCAACACAGCACAAAGTTGAGCCGCCAGGCAACGTTAATGATTTTTATTGATTTTTAAGCAAATTAAATTGTGCGTAAACCGCAAACTGAATTTATCATAAAGTCGCTTTATCAGTCGGCTTCTTCTTCTCCTTTAGTCTGAATTTTTATTGCCAAAGCATTAAACATTTATATCCGCTATCAATTTCGTAACGACGGAAAGAGCGTAATCGTGTTGCGTTGGCTGGGTTGAAAATGTTCCCCGGTTCTACCTAATTTAATTTACGTAGAGAAGCGAGGAACCCAAAAGCCGGAGCATCCGCCGATGCCGATGGAGCAACGTGCAATGGCAATAAAAGCGTTAAATTTGTTTATTTTTTCAAGCCTCGCCGGTCCGCAGGGGATCCCGAAACCGCCTTCCCCGCAGGACTTCCCCTTTGGGGTTCCATTCGATTTTCAGTTCGATTTCAGTGTTTTTCCATCCGCTCTCCTGTTTAGAGTGCCACATACCTTCCGGCCCCACAATATACCCCACATATATAGCCTCCGCTCCGGGCTTTCCACCATCCGTCCAAACCATTCCTTTGTTTTTGCCTTACCATTGTTTTTAAGTGGATGCCGGCACCTCCTTTGTTTTTGCTGCATCGCACTATGGGGCATTTAACCACTTTTCTTGGCCGAAATTAATAACTCGGTCAATTCAAAAGATATTGACTTGAAACTTTACCAGTCGCCATATTTTATCCCTACGCATGTTATACATGAGAATCATCCGGATCGGACAACTATATCATATAGCTGCCATAGAAACGATCAAATTAACTTTGCTGCTTTTGGAGATAAATGCACATAACTTTAGAAATAGCAATTATGTCAGTTTATAAAACAATATTAAAAGTTTCGTTCAAGTCGGACGACTATATCCTAAATTTCTCAAAAAGAAGGGCAAAGGAAAGAATTTACTCTACATTTGTACGACTTTTTGTTCAAGTTGTAGAGGAACTTTCGTTTTAAAGCCCCTAAAGTCCACTTAAGTTAGTCAATTACAAAGCTAAGAATTTCTACTCTATTTTGATAATAATTTAAAGCCAGAAAAGTCCTTACTTTCTTAGACGCCAGTGCAAACGACAGGAGTGTGTGAAATTTGAGGTTATGGTCTAAAAAATTAAATTACAGAAAAAGTGGCAATAAGTGGCGATTCTGACTATATACATTTTAGCAACAATTAAATAATCTACAAATCCCAATAGGTTCCAGAAGTGGACTCCGCTGGACTCACTTTGTTGCTCCATTTGAAATTTAGTTTTCTTACGAAAATGTACTTGTTAGACCACTCCCTTTAACACTCATTTATAAGAAAAATCCGTCCGATTTTTGTCGTCTAACCACACAACTACTTAGTACCAAAAAGTTTACTTAGATTGCTTAGAAACTCAAATTTAAAGCACTTTAAAACTGCAAGCCAAAAGTCGAAATACAACAGCCCGATAATTGAATTTCGAACAGCTGATTTAACAGCTTCTAACTTAACAGAGGCGACCTCTATCGGATTTCTGTAAACGCAACATTGTTAAATGGTCTTCTGTTAACACATCCTCAAACAACATTTTTTGTTTTAACGACTTTTAAAAAATGGGTTTTGGCCAACCAATGTAGTCAAATGCCCCATAGTGCATCGACTGGGGGGTTGAATGGGGGCATGGAAGCCCAGTTCCGATCCCCTTATCACTAATGAAGTGGCCAATGAACTGTAGCCCCAAAAGATTAAAGCGAAATTAAATGGCTAACCGAAAATTGATTGATCGAAAAAGGTGCGCACAACCCAAATAGGAACACACGAACACACACAAAAACCGACAAGAGAGAGAAAATAAATGAGAAAAATTATTTAAACCGATTTAGGTGGTTGCGGTTTTCGAAGCACTCGAATATGTTGTGCGGTCAGGGGTTAAGAGAGATAAAAAGGTGTATTTTACCAACCTCTCGAAAGAAATTAAATTTTAAATTGGTTTATAATATGGAATAAATTTAATACAGATGACAGAAACTTTTTTTAATACAACACTTTTTGTGATTGTAGTTGCATAGTTGTTAAACTGTTAAATTCCATCTATAAAAAAATTAATTCATTTCTATTTTCTCTAAATAATATTACTATTAAATTAATTTATGTATTATTTTTCGTTTTAAAATAAAAGTAACATAAAAGGCTCCTTAACTGTGTTCAACATTTTTATTAAAATACGTTTTAGATATACAACATAATTGTATTAGTTTTAAATCAAATAAAATTATTTCCTATTAAATTTCTTTTTTACTCAAATTTTTTCTATCTTTCTCCATCTTTAAAAATACCTATAAAATCGTAAAAAATTATCTATTAAATTTATTTTCTAAAAACTCGACGGCTTTAAATAAGCATCACATGGGCATAATGAAATCAATATCTAATTTTCGCAAGGGAAATGTGTTTTCTCATCGCGCTGCTGTCTGAATGTCTAAAAGTCTGAATGACTGAACCTCAGAGATGCTGGCAGCAGCTAGAGGTTACTTTTTCTCTTTCTCCGCTTCACATTCTCTGAATCCTCCACGGCCAGCTTGAATTCCTTGACAGCCTCTGGTAGATCTGAACCATCCCCATCCGTTTCGTCCACCGTCCAGTTCTCCAGATGTGGAGGTCTATGTCTCATAATGAAAGGATTGATGATGGCCGCCACTCCATCGGCATTGTTGAGATGAACGTGATGGGTGCCCTGAACTTCGTGGAGCTCAAAGTGCGGATTATTCTCCCTGAGTATCCCGATGACCTCGTCGCTCTGCTCGTCTATGAAGTTCGATTCGGAACCCTTGATCACGCAATAGGGCACATTCTTTATAGTCCTTGCTAGTTCAGCCGCAAATGGAGGACTCGTATGGAATTCTGTATAGTATTTACAGCGACCATCGCGAGAGAAGAAGAACTTGGCTGGAAACTTGGTGGATCGACTGATATTGCGCTCCAGGATGTGATGGCAGTTCTCCAGTTCCACCGAGTACTCAGATCCTTTATGAAGGACCTGTTCCAACTCTGAGTAAGTATACGCTGGCGGCTCCTGTCTTTTGGCATTTGCGAATCGCTCATCCTCCACCATATAACCCTCGATATTGGTGCGCAGGTAGTCGATCTGCGAGGCGGGTTTCCTATAGCGGGTCTTCACTATATCTATGCTGACCAGCAGGTCGGTGCGATGTGGATATAGCGAGGCGAATATAAAGCACAGCATGGCGCTCATCGAGTGGGCCATCAGGGAGACCTTCTGCCAGCCATATTCCTCCATGATGCGAAGAATGACGCACAGGTAGTCCACGAAATGGTAGGCTATGCCCTCCGGCAACTTCGAGGAGTATCCATGGCCGGGCAGGTCGATGCAGAGGACGCCCAGGTGCTTCGGCAGCAGGGGCAGCAATTTGTCCCACGTGCCCAGGTTGTCCAGCCAGCCGTGGAGAGCGAGGATGGGTCGCACCTGCCGGTTGCCGTACCACCTGCCCACCACGTAGCCCCACGGCATGTCGATGCGGACGTCCATGGGCTCCTGGAATGCACGGAAAACAATTTATAGATTAATTAATAAGTTCAAAATATTTTTAGAATACTTACTAAACTAAACACATTTCTCACACAAATTTTTAAATTAAAATTTATAAACTGCACTAAAATAATATTTAGATAAATTACCAAGCTAAAAAAATTATAATCCCCTAATTTGAGTTCAAATTGTATAGTGACCAATAAGATAAAATTCTTGTTATTAAAAATATTATGAATTGGTTAATTGTCATATGTATATTCTTTAAACTAATTAATTTTTTAAACTAATTAAAATATTCTATAACTTTAAAAATAGCAGGAAAATTTGTGTAATATTTTTCGAACTGTTCTTAAGTTAAATATTTTATATATTTCCATTTATCAGAAATAGAACAATTGGTTACCTACAAATTAAAAAATGTATAAACAATAGTAATACATTTCTAACCCTTGAAAAGGTTCCAAAACATATATTTTTTCTCTGTGCAAAAAGTCGAAAAGAGTTGCAGGAGTACGACAAAGTTGGTAGCAAAATGGCGAGGGAATGAAAAGGGCGAGGGTTTGTCCTGCTTGTTAGCTGTTAATTGCCAGTGGGCAAGTTGGTAGCTGCTTTCGGCCTGCTGTCAACCAGTTGGCTTAGTTGGGTTTTCGGGTTAGCAGGGGATGAGGATTGGCCCATGGCGAACGGCATTTCCCAAAGTCCATTTCGGTCACGTTTATTTCCCTAAATATTTACCAATCTCTTTAAAAAAAAGTTGTAAATATTAAATTCATAGGTAATACTTCTCACACAACGTATTGCTCATTATTCTCCACTGAGTGCATATTATATTCCCCTTTTGGATACCCCTGTCATATGGCCATATCATTTATCTCCTCCGATGCGTACTGGTGCGTACTTTCACAGAACCTCCAGCGATTTGATCAATTGGTTTGGTCGAAAAAGTTGAAGTGGTTGACAACTGGGCGAGTTTTTTGGACCCGGACCAGGTGGAGGTGTCAATTGATGGACAGGAGGCCCCGCAGTGCCACGAGCTGCCTGGTCGACAATTTATCATCTAGTTTTTCCTTTGTTTTCAGGTTCCAATCGATAAACGATTGTGTATCCACTGTATCCACTGCAATTGACTGATGCTGCTGCACATGCAAACTCCACAAAGTTCGAAACAAATGGATTTTCGTAGTTTGCCACCGCAGGAAAAAGTTTTTCCGCTTTAGTACGGTCGCCCAACTTGAAAATTAGCACTGAGGACTTTTGAAGTGTGACGAAATTCTCTCTTTTTTGGATTGGGTGGGTAAAGAGGGGGGATAAGAGTGAACGGATAACTTTTACAACACCCAGCCGACAGTTTGATGAACTCCTAATGAGCTAGATAATCGAAGAATACCAAATTTCATCCCATTAGTGTGCACAGAGAAAAGTTAGTGTCGATATATTTAAATTTCAATTAAAAAATTTAATTTTCTAAATTTTTAAAGTCGATACATTTCAATTCATATTACAAAAATTAATTTTTCCATATTTCAAAAATTTTAATTTAATAAAAATATATTTAAAAATTTACATTTAGTCCCTTAGTTAATCTTAGTTAATTTTTTAAATTTTATATCATACAACAATTATCCTATAGCTTTAAAGAGAACAAAGGTTTTTTATTTTTCCCCTGTATCAGCACTTAATGTTTACAAGCCAAGATCAATATCTTTGTGATAATAAGCAATTATCAACACTTTTTTTCTGGGTCATTTTAAGTGGTTTATGCCAAAGTTTTTGCTACCATAAGCACTTAACTTGACTGAAAACAACATTCCACCGGTAGCTGATGGCTCCGAGTAGACATTGACTTTGATTCCGCATTAACGCTGCGAATCTTATCAGTTCAGAAAGAGTCCAAGGCGATAAGAATGCAATTCCGTTCAAAGGTAAAATAAGTTCTATATAAAAGGCAAAGGGGCAGCTAAAACGTGTTTGATCGTTGGATTTTCATGGGAATCTATTTAGCGGCGCGATAACGGGGGTCATATAACGGTATAACGTCTAATAACTGTTTATGACAGACGCCCCATAGACTTCACATATATAATTACCTGTTCATGTTGTTCAATGTGAACGCCACCTCCACCTTCAGATTTCGATGTCATTTTCCGTCGCTAATGACACAATCTCAGTCCCAACTAAATCCCGACACACGCCGCCGTGTCGGAAAAAATAATATATATGTTTGGGGAAACTTTTCTATTTTTATATGTATTATATTAACTAAATTAGTTGAATACTAGAGAGAACACGGCGAAGAGAAGTGCCCGCCAGCAGGGCGTAAACAAAACTAAATTGTGTTTCGCCAGAGAAGTCGATTAAATCCTAACTGAACTGAGTCTGAACTTTAATCGGCGGGGTTTCCAAAGCGAAAATCGGGAGAAAAAACTGAGGTAAGAGAATTGACGCGCAGCTGATAAAGAGACTATATACAGAGAGCTAACATAAAACCGATCGGGCGAGAGCTTTTTAGGGTTATCTAAATGCTTAGTCATATGGAACGACAAAGGGGGAGAGAGAATTAAGCTTTCCGATGTTCCGATAGAATAATGGGTTCGAAAGAAACCAACAAACAAAACATTTGGGGATCAAAGGTTAAAATGTTCTATTTAAAAAAGAATAAAATAAAAAGAAATAAATATAAAATATAAGAGACACCAAAATACATAAGAAAATAATATTAATATAAATATTAGTACAGATAAACTAAAAAAATGTATTTTAATAGTAGGAATATATAAAAATAATAGATACTGATAATTACTTCGCTAAAGCACCCAATAACTTGGGAAAATCCCCATACTCAGTATAAATATAAACAAAATTCTCCCAATGACCCCCCAATTAAATCACATTATTGCGTTCGCAAACAAACAAGACCCATGGAAAACATTGAAATTACAATGCTCACAAAAATATCACGGCGACAACACAAAATTATTATGTATTCACCCATACAAAATCGCATATTTACGCAGATAAACATAAATATTTATAGATTTCATTTTCCAAAAGTGACCATCAAATAATTGATGCAAACATGGCAAACCTCATAATGCCAAACCAGAAAATAAAATACACTTCAGAATATTGCTTTTTGATCAAACTCCCAAAGAACCAGAGAAAAAATGTTAAACTTCCCATATTTTATTATTAATTTTTATGAAATTCGCAACAAAAAGAGCACTCCGATTTTGCAATAAAATGGAAATGAATGCGTTTTGTGTGCGTTCTTTATGGCATCTTTTTTATGCAGCCAGCAATCGGTTCAAAAAATTAATAAACGAGCAAATCAATAAATATTTATTTAGCTCTCAGGGGAAAAAAGATAAAAAGTGGGAGGTCACTCGGCCTCTATTTTTTGGTAAGGATAACAGACGAAACATATTTAAAAAACCATTCGCCGCCGCTTTCGACAAGAGTTTACACAATAAATGTGTTTAGTTTTTGCTAAATGGGAAACCATTTGAAAAATCCTATTGCAGTCGCCCGGGGCTGTGGTTCAAATCATAAATCTTCATGGAGTGCAAATTGAATGTGTTTCTGCGAGTGGCCAGCGACGGTTTTGGTTTCGCCGAGTGCCATAAATAACGAATTGGAATCATAAATCTGGCGCTGAAAAGTATGCACAGCTTTTTTAATTTCCAATGCAATTAAAACGGCAAAGGCCAGGATTCAGAATTCAGGGTCCCGGATCAGAGAGGCCAAGAAAGGAAACCCCGCTGGTGATGGGGTGGCATTTAATCAAATGCATCTGCTGCTGACCAAGTGGCGGAATCCCGAATCCTGTTAGCACCTTACCGACCTCGAACCATTCGGAATTTCGTTGCTCGCAGCGAAATCAAATTACGCTGCATGCAGGCCGGTTCAAAGTTCACCTGCCATTCCGCCGCCCCCTTGTGCCACTAATGACATTCGAATGACATTGCCGGATGCAGCCGCCCAGTCAACCGAACCTGGCTAATGACTCCAGTTCCCCTCTCAGCCGGTATTGCCTTCAATGTGGCCACATGTACATGTGGTTTTAGAAATTAAAACGTGCGCTAAAGCTTGAACAGGGTTAAAAAGAACATCGAGAAACATTTATGACTTACAAATATCATGAAGTGCACTTTGAAAGCCTTTTATAAAGGTGTCTAAAAGTATGCAGTGAAAAGAAGAACTTAAGCTTTAAAAATATTTTATTGCATAATTTTAGGGATTTTTTTAAATTCCTAATTCTAAATAAATTTTCCTAAAATAATTAGGTACTTTTTTACTTTGTTCAAATAAAAAATATCTCTATAATGACTACTTAAAATCCTAAATCAGGTCGAAATTGGCCGAGCGGAATGAAAGGTGCGGTGACAGCGTTCGTTACAAAATCATTTGCACGCCTCGCTTGGCCACAGATTTACACTTGATATTTTCTTTGGATTTATGCCAAAGTAAGAGGCGTTGACGTGCCGCCTGCCACGCCCATTAGCGACGTGCTACGCCCTAATACTTCCAGCTAGGTGAAAAATGCAAAGTAATGGGCTTTGAATATGCCTGATGCCAAGGAGGCCAAAATAAGAAGCCTGTTGAAAATGAAGATACTCTTTGATTGGCTTATAAATTTACTAAAAATCTAACTAAATTAACTAGGTAAGAAAAACCTACCTTAAGTTACCAATTAGGTGTGCTATAAATCTACAGTTTTGAAATCCTACTAATTGGCTGTAAATAGAGAATATAAACGTCGTTCATCCTGCCATCCTGCCAACCAGTTTTCCGAGCTTCTGTTTTCTGTTTTCTGGTTTAGTCTGGCCTTTTGTCTGGCACTCAAGTGAAAAGCTTTTGTCGGCGCATGGAAATTTGACGGAAATTGTTTGGTCTGATGGATGCAGATGCACCTCAATCCGATCCTTCTGCTAGTTTTGTTGCTGTGTACCTTTGGCTAATGGCCTCATTCCACCTCCCAGCTGCTCCTCCTCCTCTTTTCTGGGCTGTGTCAATCCTTCAGCTAAGTAAGCAGACAGTTTTTAGCATTATGGTCAGTTGAAAGGCCATAAACTGGGCCTGTTCAGCAGCAGAGTGTTGTCTAACCGAATGAAAATGGCAATTTCAATAGAATTTAAGCCTGATTCTTGCCGTCGCTTTGGAGGAGAAGGAAGCGCCCAGAATTACGCCAAGCGAAATAAATGCAAATCGCATTAGAATAAATTTTGGCTGGCTGCTTTTCTTTTGCTTTCTGGCAGCGTGACTGCAACTGCAGAATAATGTCCTTAAAATGGCCAACCAGACGAGGCTCCTCGGGCAGCAAACTTTGGCGACAGGTAGCACAGATAGTGCATAAGAAATATATATAAACACTTTGGGAAAAATGGCAAGGAAAAATCCGATTCTGGATTTATCAGTAGGTAAGGGTGTGAATTATGTATCTACACAAAGACGTTAAAAAAAATTCCATAGACAAATTAACTTTGTAGATTTAACTATTTTCCCATCTTTTTGTTCTATTTCTTTAACACTTTTAGGAAATCAAATATATCCTTTATATAAACATTAAGTAATTTTAATATTTATTTTTTCAGTGTAAAAACTCCGCGAATAGCATCATTAGGTTGAGGGAGCGTGGACCTCGCTGTTGATGCCCCAACACAATCAAAAGCATGCTGAACTTTTTAATGCATAATTTATTGTCGACTGACTTGGCCCCGGTTAACTGAGAACTGAGAAACAAAAAGCCAAAAGGGCGCAGGTTAAAGCCAGCCACACTTTTTGTTGATTTTATTTTGTATTTTTTATGTTTTATGCGCAGCGCGAAAAATCAGTTAGAACAATGAGTTTGGTTGGATGGTTGGCTGGGATGCAGATCTGTGGCGCATCATAAATATTTATGAAATGTCTGGTGGGTCACGTACCGCCAACGAAAGCACCTCATGTAGTAGAAAACACCGGCGAATGGCCGAGCAATTTATTGGGCTCCTTGGCGAAAAACTCATCTTTAATGCCAGCACATGCGGCACATATAAATATTGAGCCGGAATATTTATTTTCAATTGATTGCTGGTTTATTTCGGGGCATAAGGAAAATAAAATATAAGGCTAAGGGCGGATAAAATAAATCGGATATTTATGTTCCGTATTAAAAATACAAGCTCCTATGTTTTAGTCGTATAATATTTGATAAGAGGATGTTATATTTTTACAAGAAATAATTTAAGGATTTTAATTTATATTTAGATTTTTTGCGAAATTCTAGAATAATTTTCTATAATGTTCCCTGTCAAAACTTTAACAATCAAGTCATTTTATGTAAAAGAAGTAGAAAGATATATAGTTTCATTAACCAAATCATATCTGTGCCATCTGTCTGCAACTGTCCAACCATTTGGCTCTCCCTTTTGCTGGCAAAACTTTTTAGATTTGTTTGCGTGTTTCGCTGGCGTAGAGTGAAATTGCAAAACCAAATCGCCCGATCCGAGTCACAACTATCAATTAAACTAATTAGCTTGATTTCCCAGCAGAGTTGCGCAACCAAAAGGGACACGCCCAAAACTTTCGCCTTGACTTTCTTCCTTTTTTGGTTTTTTTTTTGGGGGTTTGCGGTTGCGATGGAAAATTCAATCAGCGCGTGCAGAAAAACGCAATCAAATGATTAAGTCAACAAATGAAGGCAAATTGCTGGGGCCGCAGCTGCCGTCGGTTGGTGCTGGACTTTTGGGATGCACTGTGTGCGGAAAATCGAAGCTAAAGGCAAAGCCAAAGAAGTAAAAAGTCGCCGTGGCGGCCAATAAGGTTGTTTCAGCCGAGGTCTTCCTCAAAACTTTGGTTAACTTTTTCTCCGGGGATTCCTCGTTTTTTTGTATTTTTTGTGACAGTATAGCGCATTTTAAGCAGGTGAAAAAGCACAAAAAACTTGCAGTTTTCCTAATGAGTGTGGTACTTTTGGCTATTGATTAAATCGAGGTTGCGGTTAGACTTTTCCTTCTAGCCAACATATTTTTACCATTTTTGTGCCCTTTCTGGTCCACATTCAAATTCAATTGACTGGGCGTGGCACGTGCTACATATATCTCTATCTATATCTACGGTTGAGTGTGTGGCTTCCTCCTTCGAGCATATTTATTCCCCTTTTTTCGGGGTGCGATTGCCTGGCAGGAAATTTATTTATATTCAATTTGTGAATTTATGCCAGTTTTTTTTGGGGCCCAGAAATAGCGGCGACAATGCCGGGGGAAATTCAGTTTGCTGCAGATGCATCGATGGTGCAAAAGGATGGAGGACATGCACTAGGCGAAAATGTGAAGGGGATGTGGTATTAGGCATTCGACTTTAGGGGGAAATATTGATGGGCTTACGGCAAGCTAAGCGACTGGATATTTTCCATAAGAGGATTGCTAAGAGATCTTGAGAAAGAGATTGTTGAAAAATAAAATAAGGATGATTTACTTAGTATAATGCCAATAAAATATTGAACGAAAGAAAGAAGAGGATTGCTCTATTGAACATATAAATATACATGTCTTAAATTATTTTGGTTATTGCTTGACTAAACTTTATTGGAACGCAATTCGATTTTTTGGTATATTTTATTTGTTATGTTTAAACGATTTTAGAGCTCCCTAAAATTGTTAAAAATATTATTTTTATTCACAAAAAAACCTTTTATAATTATAATGAGTTTCTATGATTTAGGGTATAACTGATTGAAATACAATAAGAATAGTGGTACCACAAAAAATTCAGAATAGGAACATTTTTGCCATACAGTAAAATCATATACCCATTTATAAATATTAGAAAGAAACACGAAAATTATTTTAAAAAAAAATTATGCATACATTACCTGAAATTTTCAGTACATCCTTTTAACATATAAAATTCTGTATATGGTCTCCTGGATTTTGGGACTCCATTTGTAACTACACATTTATTTCAGTACCCAAGGGAACCTTTGTTACCAACTTGCTCAGACTTGCCGTTCGGTGGAAGGAAACTTAATGCTGTATTTACGGTCACTGATGCATTTACTATGGCTGCTGGTCCGTCTGTTACTTTTGCTGCCTGTCGATAAGGTCGATTCCGCACTGGGTACATTTTCCGCAAAATCATAAACACATTTGCTCTGCTGGCTGATTACCTAATCTGAAGGACTAGGCATGTTATTTGGTACCCAGTAACCAAATTACCTGGTAGTTCCCAAAGGTACAGTCTTCTAACTATAACCCAAGAAAAACCAGAGGTACGTAAAGGTTGAGACCTACCTACCTATCCATCAAAAGGTACTTAGGTAGGAGTAAACTTATGGGTATATATAGTGATATCTGAATACCGGATCCTTCATTCCGTCGATGTCCTTCCACAGCGATAGTCAGCCCCGAATCGTCGTCCGTTGAGAGTGTGAGTTGTTGTTGAGTCTGTGATAGTTAGACCCAGTGAAAAGGGCTCAGGATGTTATTCCTAGCGCCGCGCAAACATCTGTTTGCCACCAACCTGATCATCCTGCTGATGATCTATGTGATGCGAAAGTGCCTGCAGCTCTTCTGCATCATCGAGAACCGCGGAGTCCAAGATGAGGATAAGGTCGAGCTACCGGAAAGGGAGATCCTCCAGAAGCGTCGCGGTGGCTTCAAGATCATCCCGGATGCAATGCACCAGAGCATGCACGGTTTTGGCTACGGCGAGGGTCACTACCAGATCTTCGTGGAGAAGAAGGAGCGAAATCTTCCCACCAAATCGCGCCTCAATGCGGCCTCAGCCGAAGTCAAGCTGAATCCCAATTAGTTGGTCTTTCGAGACCCTAAGAAAACACTGACATCTCCGCGTGTCAAAGACAATGTGCCAAATGAGCCAGCAAAAAAATACCCAATCCCCGATAAAAAAAATCCCCATACATCCATGTCTTCTTCAATAGTCTTTAAAAAATATTACCAATTAAATGCATGTAGCGAACATTTATTTTTTATAAACATCATAGCGCATTCTTGGCCATTAATAAAAAATATAAAAAATAGGTGTCGATATTTTGGTATTAAAATGGTAGTCGGTGAAAAACGGGAATTAATGTTCCTTTCTAAAGCTCTTATAAAAAGGTTTAAAATATTCAAAAATAGTATTGAGTATTCAAAATATTTCTGGAGTTAAAAAAAATATTATTCAATCAGTTATTGTATTCATGACAACAAATTCTCTCTTTTTCAACAAAAGCACAGTATTTGCCATTTACACAAATAACGAAGGCGGTTTTGATTGATTGTTCCATATTTTTGTGGCCATGAGCATTTTGGGTGATCTGCAACTTTTCTGCTTACTTGGATTTCCACTTGGACGTGAATTTCTCGGGAGGCTGAAACGGATTTCATGCCACTTGAAAAATTATATATCCTGCGGAGGGGGCGGTTTCTCTGATCGCGTGGGTGTTGCAGCAACATTAAATGGCGCCAAATTTATCACAAAGTAGCAGCAGCAGGCACATGGGAAGCTGAGGAAATCAGGGAAGGACTGGAATGATTGGGGTAGACAAGAGCAGGAAGATGGGCCTGAGTGCCAGGCGGCGGCAACAACAATGTCTGGCAATATGCTGAAGTAATTTGCAAATACTCTAGCCCAAAAAGGAGGAATTTTGGGTACATTGATTTTTATTTATTCATGCATTCATAAATTCTAAAGATTAATTAATGAAATAACTTGTAGTAATTAAATGATTTCCATCTCATGAAAAGTATTCATTTAAAAATGCATTAAATAATGCTAAACGATTTATCAACAACAAACAAACAAGTCAAATGTCATTAATTGGTTATTATAGATTTCTTTTTCACTTTCTATATTTCTCACTGAATTTATTAATGTGCGTGACTAATAGAATGCTAATTATTATTAAATAATTTACTTTAAATTTGATTTTTAATTGATGTTCATATACACCTACAATTTGCATTCTCGTTATTTAAACGATTTTAATTACAATAGGAAACAAGAAAGGCTATTAATTATAAAGTTTAGCTTATGAATTTAAGATTAAATATAAATATAGAACATTGTTTAAATTCCTATAATATTTATAAACATTTTTTTTTTTGAGGATTTTATTTACTGTTGCTGTTACCAATATTTCTTCGGTATTACCTCAATCCCTACAAACTTTTGAAGGGTTTCTAATCCTTTCCCCTTTGTCAGGGCATTTCCAGGTCGTCGTTTAGTGGGCCACCCACTTCCATTGTTCGGCATTGGCCAAGATAAGAAAGACGGAGATGGCACGAGGAAGAGCAGAAGGACTCGGCTTGAGCACAGCAATTGTTAGCAAATCTATCATCATCATCTGGTTAAGCACGTGTCTGTAATGCGTGTGTGTGTCTCTGCCTGTCTCTCTCTGCCTCTTATCTCCGTCTCTTTCCTGCCGTTTATCCCCGTCTCTGTCTTCCAGCTAAGCTGATGGAAGAAGCAGAGACAATGTGTGAGCGTGCAACATTCTCTGCATTGCATTATAAATGAAGGGAAATTTTTAGTTGTAAGCTGCATCATCAGCCCTCGAGCTGCATATAAATTATACCGCCAAATAAAGCATTCATCCCACCCACAATCCAGCCCTTCATTATAATCGTGATTGTTATTGCTGTAATTCTAATTCCATAACTATGTGGCTCTGGGCATTATCCATACGCCATGTGGCCATGCGGCGGCATTGCCCATACGCCCTGTGGATCGTGTGCGCTGCTCGTCGTCGGCAGCTGTTGATGTGTAAAAATGAAATGTCAGTCGGATAAGCGCCCACAGGCATCCTGGTCATAATGAGGAGGTGGTGGCCAGGATCCAGAAGAGGATAACCCATATAGCCGGACTCTTTCCCCCCCCCCATAACCCTCGGCATGCGCTAGTTTTTTTCTCCACACTTTTCTGCCTTTGCCCGCATAAAACGTTAAGCTCTCATGTAAATCATGTCGCTATTGTTACTCTCGTAGTTTTGTTCGCTGCTGGACTCATTATAATTAACAATTTATAAAGCGTTAATCCACATACACTTACACCAAAAACTCTGTTTGGTTCACCAACACAAACTTGGCTGTTTTACACTTTAAACAATTCTTGCAACCTATTTCTGTAGTATATAAAATCGCGTCCAGTCAACAATCAATAAATTCAAATGAAATTAATTTTTTAAAGAAATAAGTTATTTTAGTTTTTTAATAATTTGGAATGATTTTAAGAAATCCTCTAACAATCCGTCAGGGAAATATTTTTAGGAATTTTTTCGGATAGCCATTTGAGTTTAATTAATAAATAAAATAGTATTTTTATTAATTAGTATTTTTCAAAATGTATAATATTTATGAAAAAAAAGTTTTAAATCCAATTTTCCTAACCTAAGTGTTCCTTTTATTTTTCCCAGTGTACAATATCCATTGACGGTAATTTGCCAAGGCAGCCAAAAGAGCATGTTCAGCAACAGCTATAGCAAAATCCAGCCAAACAAACAAGTCAGGGGCGTGGGGTAAAAGGGGATGAGTGTGAGTAAGCAGCTTTCATTGCCGGAATCCCCTCTTTTCCTGTTCCCCAACCCCGATTCCCATCACCATCCCCTTCTGCCGCCTAACTGCTCCACTGGCACGTCGCGCGCATTAAGAAGATGAGCTGCATTTTTCATGCATGTGAAGTTGAGATTGCAGCTGCTTTCTCCTACTTTCTCCTCATCGCGACTTGCTCATTTCATTTTGGCCTGGCTTTTAGCTGCTCCTCGGCATCTCGCCCATTGGGGATTCATCCACATCCTCGCAGAGTTCCTTCGGCATCAGCATCATCCCGCTCATCAGCGTCATTTGTATTAATTGCCCAAGCATTTTGCTCTGCGCAATGATACCGAAAATGGGGGACTCTATTGTCGTTGCGCTTGCCGCAGTTTTCCTTCGTTTTCATTTGGCGCTTTCCTTAATGTTTTCACATGCTTTTTTATTTTATTTGTGTTGTTTCAGAAATAAGAGCTCTCTAGATAGTTGATAAATTGAAAACGGTAGCTTTTGCTTTAAATGGGTTATAAAGGATTGGAAAATATTTGTTTATTTAAATTAAAATGTCCTTTTGTTGACATTTTAAAAAATAATAATAAATATGAAAAATGAAAACATTACAAATAAATATTATTTATTAATTATTTATTTATTTTACGTTTTTTTTATTTCATCTACAAACATTCATTATATTAAATTAAATTTTGGCAACAAAACGATTTCTAATGTTGACTAGTTAGTTCTACTTCAGCTTATATTAAAATTTAATTTGTCAGGAAACTCTCCATTTGCTTTCGCCGCACCATCCTTTAAAAATCTCATACAGTACTGGCATTTTTTCCGCTCTTTCGACTTTTCCCGAAACAAATTGCCAATTTAGCAGACTGCCAAACAGTTTGACAGTCACTGGCTCAATGCTAGTTAAACCGCATCGACTTTTATGGACGCTCAATTAGTGGCCCAATGGAGGGAAAAACAGCGCTTTCGATTGAATTTTATTGGGTCTTTAATTGATGCCATGCATTGAATGCCGAGTGCTGGGATTGCACATTTGCACATGGCCAAACAATAGTAACAACGGCTCTGTGTGGAAATTCCACCGAATTCCTGCACACACATTGCAAGGATAATTAGCAAACAAAACAGCGGAAGGGGGAAGTCATGTAAATGATTTACAAAATGACAGCAAATTGCCTTCCATCCTTCCTTCCTTCCTTCCATTTTCCATTTCCCTTCGGAAAATTGCTTGAGGCGGCGGCGGAAAAACAAAGGAAACCATTTGAAAACCGTTCAGCTACGAATGAGGCAATTAAGCGGCGCTAATGAAGCGACTGCCACAAAATTCACATAGCATTTTAAATGCACAGAAATCCAAAAAAAAAATATGAAACTGCAACTGCCAACTGCAAATGGACAAATGCAAACAGAACAAAAAAATAAAACCGGAATAAACTTTAATCAAATTGCCAAACCAAGCGGGGCGAAGGCAAAAAAGAACCGGTAGCCATGGCATAATAAATAAATATTCGATTTTAAATCAACCAAAATGGAGCAAAACAATATGCAACAACGGAAAGTAAATTAAAATGAAATTCGATGAAATTACCAGAGCCAGTAAATACAATAAAAATATGTATATTTAAAATGCTATGGAATATGCATATGTACAGCGGTGTTTCAAAAAATAATATTGGTAAACCATTTATTACAAAAAATATTTGTATTATATTAACAAAAAATTGTAAGAGCTGTTTGGGATTTTCTTAATATTTTTCCAGTAATTAAATTAACAAAGATTTTCCCTATTATTTTGCCCACAACTGTTTATATTTTAAGCGGCTTTCCAAGTCGATAAATGTGTGGCCACAAAAAGACACACACAAAAACCAAGCCCCAATGGTTGGGGCTCATAAATAAAGTAATTAAATTAAATAAACCACAAAAACATCAGTCAATCGTCGGCATCGTGTGTCAATAAAAGCCAAAAGACACATATGATATGGCAGCCGAATTAAATATTAAATCTCAATTAAGTTTAAGTTTAAAAAAAATAATGTTTCTTGACTTTCCAGCAAATGTTTTGTGGTCTTTGGCTTAGTCAACTCAATTGTCGTCTTAGTGGCGCCGCCATAAACACATGTATGGATATGGACATTGCGCATACGCCGTGTGGTCGGTAGTATATTCCGGTAGTCGGAGGCCAAACCAGAAATGTTTATTACAAGCCACTCAATAAAGTATCAAAGGCCTATAAATTTCCCTACCGATAATATGATCACATATAGCCGCTGGACAGTGGGTAACGAAAGTATGCACACAGCACACATGGGTTGATACTTTGACTGCCAACTTTCGGCTGGCACTGTCATGTTCGCTTGGCTGGGCAACTTTCAATTCGTTTCGACTCGACTCGTTTCGCTGCATGCAAATGGTAGGAAAGGAAGGTCTAGAAATCGGAATATGGGAATATAGAAACC